CTCCTAAAGTGCTGATTGTGTGTTGGAGATGGGATACTTTTTATCTTGAAATATTGTCGGTTTGACCAATAAATGCAAGCTACCACAATAAATCAAACTACTGGTCGCGGTGGTTTTATGTCAGAGAAAAAAAAATACATGCAAGCAGCAGAAAAAGCAAACGAAATCGAATTACCGTTCCATGAATGCTACTTATTTGCCTTTAGCTTTACCATTTCTCGTCGCACAGATAAAGCGAATGATAAAGCAAAGATCGAACAATCGCAAGGTTCAGATTCGAGTCCGGTCTGAAGCTTATTTTTACTTTTTTGTCATGTTCATTCCTTCCAATGATGAAGTTATTTTACCCATCCTCACTAATATCCCGTTCACATTACAGCGCATATCACGTGATATACGCTGTCTTGCAATGAGCACTCATACATCTAGTTTTCACTGGAAATCCTATGTATGAGTGCTCATTGCAAGACAGCCTATATTACGTGATATAGGCTGTAATGTGAACGGGGTATAACACACTCCACATTTTTCGGTCTCTACAACCAACACTTGTGGCCCGTTGGTTGAGTGTAGCAGTAGCGAGTGTGACAGTTCTAACGAAACTAGCTTCATACAATGTAAAGGGTGATACGGTCAAAATTTGGTCAATATCAACTTGACGTATTTCTTTCAATTTTGCATTTAAAAAACCTGAACACCCCTCATTTTGAAGGTGTGTGTGTGTAGAATGTTGCTCCTATTTTGATTTTGGAATTCACTCTTCAGTTGTCAAAATGCCGTCCAAGCAAGAAGAGCAGCGTATCAAAATTTTGCTCGCGCATCGCGAAAATCCGAGCTACTCGCACGCAAAGTTGGCAAAATCGCTAAAAGTTGCCAAATCAACCGTTACAAATGTAATTAAAGTGTTTCACAGCAAAAAAATTATTTTGATATCACATCAAAGTGGATGCACTACAATCATGTCGAAAATTTCATGTAATTTTTATGACCACATAAATAAACAAATGCAGTAAAAGCAGCGTAATGTCAGTTCATGCATTGTATTAATGATAATTTTGTCCTTTTTAGCAAGTAATATTACACCATATTTTCGACATGATTGTAGTGCATCCACTTTGACGTGATATCAAAATTATTTTTTTGCTGTGTTGGGGAACGTTTGTCGACAGCCAGGAAGTCTGGATCGGGGGGAAATCGAAAACCGGAAGCCGCTGAGACGACAAAGAGAGTTGCCGGTAGTTTCAAGCGAAACCCTAACCTCTCTCTCCGAGATGCCGCAAATAAGCTGGGTGTATCGTCTACAACCGTGCATCGAGCCAAAAAACGAGCCGGACTATCGACTTACAAGAAGGTAGTGACTCCAAATCGCGATGATAAACAATATACGACGGCCAAAGCGCGATCCCGGAGGCTGTACACGACGATGCTGACGAAGTTTGACTGCATGGTAATGGACGACGAAACCTACGTCAAAGCCGACTACAAGCAGCTTCCGGGACAGGAGTTTTATACGGCAAAAGGAAGGGGAAAGGTAGCAGATGTTTTCAAGCCCATGAAACTGTCAAAGTTCGCAAAGAAATATCTGGTTTGGCAAGCCATCTGTACCTGTGGCTTGAAAAGCAGCATTTTTATAGCTTCCGGGACTGTCAACCAAGAAATTTACGTGAAAGAGTGTTTGAATAAACGTCTGCTGCCTTTCCTGAAGAAACACGGTTGTTCCGTACTGTTTTGGCCGGATTTGGCATCTTGCCATTACGGTAAAAAGGCCATGGAGTGGTACGCCGCCAACAACGTGCAGGTGGTTCCCAAGGACAAGAACCCTCCCAACACGCCAGAGCTCCGCCCAATTGAGAAATACTGGGCTATTGTCAAGCGGAACCTAAAGAAGACCAAAAAAACTGCTAAGGGCGAGCAGCAGTTCAAGGCAAACTGGCTTTCTGCGGCGAAGAAGGTGGACAAGGTGGCTGTACAAAATCTGATGGCAGGGGTCAAACGTAAGGCCCGGCAATTCGGATTTGGAAAAGCGGAAGCCTAACTGAATATTTTTCCTGAATTTTATACTAATTGAACTTGAAAAAGAAATTTAATTTGATTTTTTAAATAAACGATTTCACCGATTTACAAGCGTTTTCCCTTGACCAAATTTTGACCGTATCACCCTTTACAAATCAATTTCGTTGCAGAAAACAACGAATAAATTTGTAGAAGAAATAGTTGTATAAACGAAATTTTATTTTCAGTGTGGTAAAGAAAACTACATTTAGCAATATTTAAATATTTTTATCCATTCCATGTTCATTTTATTTATAGATTATTAAATTTTATAGTATGATAGAAATTCCAGTTGATGGGCTTGAAAAACTTTATGTTGAAATGAGAACATTTTGCAATGTTAAGAATTATCGAAAACTAAAAATATATTCAAATAAATCTTCAAAGGAGCAACCGAAGTCATTTGCCGAATATACGTGAAGAAAAATATAGCCATGGTGCTTATAAAAGAGCATTGGGTCCATAAACACCAAGTACTTGGAATAGGTACACAAGCAGGAAAGCTAGTTTATGATGAAAGTAATCCAAAACTTCGGACAGCCATTTCTAATTTAATCTAATCTAATCTAATCTAATCTAACACCACCACAGCCAGTTCTTGAAAGTATCCTGGAAAGTTATATATATACCTACATCATTTTTCTGCCTATTTGATATATGTTTCACATGGAAGATGCGTAGATGCGTAGATGCGTAGATGCGTGGAAGACACATATCAAAACGCCCAGGCCTACTGTGCAGCATTTAAGGGGAAAGATGATTCAGAAAACATCGGGTCTGGATATTTTTGATTTTAAATATACAATATTGAAATGCATAACGGCGCGGTGGTCACTACCCGTGTCTTGTCACTATTATCAAGTCATAAAAAGTAACAAGGACTAAAATTTGATCCTTTGATTACTGGAAAATCCTGATTCCCTAGTTTGAAGTTGTCACGACTAGGGTTCGGTGGTAGATCTTATACGCAGAACGCACCACAAAAAGGTGATCTCCCAACGTCACTGGTTTGAAAAGATAATAAATTACAAAATGGAACGAACTCACCAAGTTGTTTAGCCAATTGAACCTGAAGGCTGTCTGACATGTGTTGATGCAGAAGTACAAATTGTAGACGAAGCTTGACGTAGATCAACATGAACTAGTCCGGTTTATGGTAGTTGCGCGGAATGTCTTCCCTCGATTTGAGACAAAAAATTATCGGATGTATGTAGTCGATTTTTGATGTGCATTGGCAAGCCTTTTCGTGGCCAATAGTCAGATTCAACGCTGCGACTCAACGAATGATGAGACGAATAATGGGACGCCTCGTGGAGGTTCTACTTGGCTTCGGAACAGCTTCTCAGCGGCAAATAATAGGGACCTATAATGAGGGACTAGAAATTGTCTCCTGGGCCTGGTTATGGCCAGATCAGCAACCGATTATAGATAAAAAAAAAAAAAACGTCAGGTTCGAACACACGCACAGCCTACTACCAAAACCTCGGACAGCCATTTTAATAAAAATTAGGATCAAATTTGTACCTATAACACACTATATTACCAAATATTCAGTTGCAATTCGAATGGAAATTTCCATAAACATAGCTTCTGCTTACTTCCCTGGAGATGTGAATACAGTTTCTCTACCCGTTGGCTGGTTCGTCTCTGAAGAAGGGTAAAGGTGAACAGTTTTACAGAAGTAATGAAAGGCAGACCAGAAGCCTAGCGTTTCGTGATGTGAAAAACAGCGGTCCATCAACGGCCGGAAAGAGTTGGAACCGGAGGAGAACATCGTTTGAGACCGTCTATAGAGGATGATGAATAGATTTCTGTAGTTTGTTCTGTGTGAGTTGCAGCATTATTTGAATTAAAAATACTAATGGGGTCTGATTAACTGTCTCTTTCTCTTGAGCTCACTCTAGAACCTACATTTCATATTTAGATCTATTAGTGAACTGCTGGTTTGAGTTCTTCTGGAGGATGTTCCTGAATATACAGTAAAACAGTACGTAATATTGTGAACAACTTCAATGACAGTTGTCCAGCAGTGCTCCCATTTTATTTACAACAATCTAATGCCTACGAGATTGTGCCGAATGTGTGCCTATGGATGTGCCCAACTTGCGCCGAATCTAATTCCAGCACAATGTGCTGAGTGACTTACCCCTTGACTTGGTGGTACATTTTACATGCCGTAACGTACCACGAAAAGCTGATCTCTACCCACGTAACGGGGTCTGGAATTGAACCCACTGCCTCCAGCTTGGTAATACCGTGCCTTAACTGACTATGCTATCTAAGGTCCCAAATCTCTGGATCTGTTTAATGAATACAACTTCAAGCTGTTTCAAACTCCCACACGTGTCTGCAGTCAAATCAGTTTCTTCGTTGACTTAATCGTTTCTCCACCTTCCAATAAACATATTCTACAATCTTCGCTCAGAGCTCAATTTCATTATCCCCCAAATCAACCCACCTGACTGACGATTGTCTTTCATCTCAAATCAGTCCCTGAGCTGCACTCTTGTTGTTGTTGTAATATTCTGTTTGACACAATCACTTCTTGTTTTGCTTATGTTTCTGATTCGTTCCTGCAAAACGAAAATGCCATTTGCGTGTAGAATGTCTTTGCAGGACGGGTAGAAGAAAAAAAATGAATATTTAAATCAGATTACCATCCGGAGAGTGTTTAGCTCATCTCGCTTGCTTTGATGCCAGAAAGTGAAAGAAAAGAAAATTTGATTTTTATAACTGCCAGGAGCTGATTTTTCTTCGTCTGCCAGGTGTCATTCGCATTCACGTTCGCTCGACCAAATCTCTACGTGGCCCTCGAGCGATGTGAGTTGGATAAAAGTTTGCTAGGAATCCTTTCTCTTGTCTCCTGAATGTGATCTTCCGAGATTTACCCTAATGTTTGTGGCAGTGTGATTTAATTTTGTTTCCATCCTCTTTTCGTCAATTTGCAGAATCCTTGGCTCAAGAGTTGGAACTCGAGCGCAAAGTGCGACAACAGGCGGCCGAAGGCGAAGTCAAAGGGCCACTCCAAGATCGTTCCAATTACTACAAAAACTCCGTACTGTACAGCAGTGCCACTTAGTTCCAGCAATTATGGCTAATCTTTTCATCGCTCTCAACAAGCGCAGCACTTGTTCTTCTACTGCAGCTCCTCTCGCAGCAGGCCACGTTGTGGTCGTACAGTGTCGCGTTGGTCACTGTTGCCATTTAGCTTCCACTGCTCGCTGGCGTCATGGCCAACCTCGACGCTGGGCAAAATGTACGTGCAATTATACTACTAGAGGAAAGGATGTGAGTAAACTCGAGAGAACGAGAAAAAAATACAATTCGATATCAGTGGAAGAAAAATGAGTGAGTGCACACGCGGCATCACGTGCAGCGGCATCATTTCCGAGGTTCTACTTTTAATTTACTCCACTGATTGGAGCTATTGCTGGAAATATACGAATCACACAGCTTATGCTTGTGTGTGTATCTGGATGGATGGATAGAGAACGTTTGAACTGAAACCAAGATTGTATAATGATAGATGAACATGTATTTATTAAACTCTTAATGAATGACTAATTTAAAACAAGAAGAAGAAACATGACAGAACTAGAATAGATAAGTTTTACTGTCCCACATTTATAGAATCGAAATCAACAGTTGTGAAATCATTGCAAAATAGAATAGAACAGGATCTCAAAGCAAACAATATGAAATTGCACACTGAAAAAAAAAGAGCCGATACGATTTCTTTTCTACAATTTGACATTTTGTACATTTTGGTAATCATTCGAAAAGTGCAAAAACTGTAATCTGCATAAAACTGAAGCGAGAATTTTGTTTTACAACAACTGACTTAGCACAAATATGTTTCGTTTCGTTAGGCCTCCTTTGACGAATAATCATTTTGAGGCTGCGCGAAGCAGGCATTGACAAGAAATCCGTTCATTTCGTCTGTCATATTTCTTAGCGAGAAAAGTCAAACTTTCTTTTTTTTAACAAAGCCGTACTGTAAAATTGATATATACAAAGAAATTCGTAATACAACATTAACTCGTACTTAAGGAAATGTGAATAGTTTCGTGTTTTCTGAAAAAAAAAAAGAATCTTAAACATACAGAGGTAAGTCATAGACAGAAATTCTTGCAACTCACGAATACACTGATATAAGAAAATGACACACTTACAAGCAGACACACGTCGTGAAAGTACTTAGTATTTTTCCGGGTTAATTTCTTCCAGATAATCTATGTTTATAAATCAAGCATTAGAAAATACAACCAAGTGATAGTGATCGTTAGCGTAAAACAATTATACATAGAACCATCTCGGGAAGCAAATCTTAATTTACGACGCTGAACACTGCTGTTTTAGTTTGTGTTTTACTATATTTTAGGTAGAATTATTTTTAATGATAATTTTTTGTACAAAGTTCAATCGCAACAGGCACAAACTCACCCATACAAACAAAAGCCACCCTTATGCAAAGTGCAGATGGGGTGGTCCCACTTTTTTATAGATATATTTCTCTTCCCGCATTTATATGTAAAACCAAAATAGTAACAAGCGCAAACGGATTGTGTCGACTTTGACTTTTATTTATTATTTGTATTTTAGAATCCATTTAGCAAAACAAGAAGAAAACAATCGCTATTTATCAAGCATATATTGTATCTATAAATAAACGTAAACGTAACTGGAAAATTCAATTCACTGTAGGGCAGGCGTGGTTGGTGGTAAGAAAAAAAAACGGAAAAAGCAAAAAAAAAAGATTAAATAAACACGACCCGGTGACACGTTAAATTATTCGCAACGAATAATTTCTGTTTTTCTATGTATGTAAGGGCTTATTGTTAATGGTGAAGAAGAAAAACATAAAAAAAACACTGGTAATCAAACATGTCGAGTGCAAATTATTTGAGAAAACAAAAATGACGAACAACAGACACAAATCAATATCCAACAGAAAAAAAAATCAACACAATCCCCAACCCCAGCAAAACATAGATTCCACTTTTGTAACAGAAAAATGATATCGATATGTAGAAACATACACAACAACAAAAGCAACATCGGAAAGAAATAAAATGAATCATGCTGTAAAATGGAATGCTCTGTGCTCTTTAGAACGGTCAAATAAAATACCAAAATATGCGTGAAACTTTGAGTCAGCTGTGAGATATATCACCTTCCAAAATTATTCTTAACTTCCGATAGTAAACACCAGCGATGCCAGATTTACAGACATGTCTGTGAATTTACAGACTTTTTAATTTTTCACAGACTTTTGTAATCAAATTTTCAAAATGTATTTGGTTACACTGGTTTCATCTTTAATTTAATTACATCGTGTTTCATACGATTTGACAGTTTGTTTGGATACGTCAACTGACGTTACTCACTTGACTGTCACTGTCACCGAAAAAGAGAATTAAACCGAAGGGAACGAAAGTCCCAAAATTTATTCAAATTTTGCCAAAAAATACTCTAAAGTTTAATTTATTGATTTATAGTCGGAGAAATCCATTTTATCGAATTCATCCGATATAATCGTGCTTAAATCTCTAAAAACAAATAATATCGATTTTTATCGGTACCATCTCTCATATCTATAAGTATCATGACAGCCGTTTGTTTGTGAAAGGAACATTGTGAAATTTCAACCAACAATTCAAAAAGGCGGATCAGTTTTTGTAATCAAATCTTGTAATGCTCTTTTCTCGCAAATCAAAGCTCGCCTTGCCAAATCAACAACACCGTCGGCTAGGGAAAACTCTCTCCTATCCGATGGTGGCATTGGTTTGCGTAGGCGTGCTTCAGTTTGCATGATAAAGTCATTACAAGTTTACTGATTCTCCCCTTAGTATTGTTGGTTGATAAATCTGTTCAAAAATCATTTATGGTGATCTCTTGAAAAGTCCACAAATCGCCTGATGAGGGCTGAGATACCCTAGCACCTCAAGTGTTCTAGAGCACAAATTTCGGACACAGTTGTGACATCACTCATGAAATTGGAACTCCCTGTTTGCTGGATCAAATGTGAAGTTCCAGTTTCATTGTTGTATATTTTGTGGTAGCTGTGCTCTTGAAATTTTGAGGTGATCGTATAACGCATTGCATGCCCCGTAACGTGGGTAGATCACCTGTTCGTGGTACGTTACGGGATGTAAGATCTACCACCGATTCCTAGTCCTGACTAGAGTCGGTGTATAATGAGTTACGCCAAGAGAAAAACAGTTGAACTCGCATTACGGTTTTCGAAAGATTCCCTTCACTTGGCTCTGTTGCCAGAGGACTTCTACATCAACTTCAAATGACTTCTAGCGAGAAAAAAAAATAGCGGGTGTAGTAAATCATTATGAAAGTGATTTAATCAAATTATCTTAACCAAAATAGTAGAAATTCTCATAAGTGATCATTACCAAACGTATCCCATGACAATTTATTGCTCACTGCGTGTTTAAGATCATTTCTTCGATTATATTTTAATTTTTTTTTGCAATACCTTTCGTGCATCTTTCATAGCATCGTACTGTTTGTTTACTTTGCACGATAGGTAGCCGGTTTGACAGTTCAATAGGTAGACTTGGCTTCACTCTTGGCGTAACTCATTATACACCGACTCTAGTCCTGACTACTTCAAATTAGGGAAGCAGGATTTTTCAGTAATCCAAGGAACACATCTAAGTCCTTGTTAATTTTTATGCCTTGTTGGCTTTGTCCACCGAGGATAATCTTGAAGGAAAAAAATGAGTTATTCTTTGTCTATGTGATTTCTAATCTTCTATTCGTTGTTTCCTAGTTTGAAATGGTTAAGACTAGGGTTCTGATGCATGGTCATTATCGGTGTCATTTCCTTATTTTGTTGCTAAGGAATCAAATTTTGACTGAAAAAGAGGCGCTCCTTTGGAGGGTGTTTCAACACTCCGAAGGGTATAAATAGCGGGACCTTTCAATTAGTGTCGGATCCTTGCGATAAATGCAAGAATGACAACTGTAAAAAAAAATCGAATACATGATCATTTCTCAATAGTGATGGAGTAATATCAACAATCAATACGAAACTAACGATTTTAAATTTGCTCACTACTTGACTACACGGATAGAAATCTTCTTATACCTTTTGGCAAATTTCTATTGCTGATTATTCATCAAATGTATAAGTCAACTAATAAGCCTTGCAAAACGTTAATGAAGGTCATGTGTCAAATGAAATGTATAAGCGGTCACACATACCTTTTATGCATTGTTATAGGACCTATGTGGTTTGTCTTAAGGAATGTATAAGGCTGATGTTTTGGCAAAAATGTATAAGTGAAACACATGAAGAAAATAATTGATTTTCGTTTCGTGTAGCCTATTGGTTCGAAGCAAACGATAAGGTCCCCATTCTAGTCGAAATTCTAGTACTACACAATGTTTGTTTTGATTCGCTATGAAAGTTTAACAGATAAAACGAGGGGTTAGTGAATTTTCCTATGTTTCGAGGGGTGAATCGATTAGCTTGAGACCGAAGAGAGTACCAGAGCTGAGCCAAAAAGTTGAGCACGTTTCCTCGGGACCTTCTAGTCTTAGAGTTACCTCTATGGTAATATCATCGACAAACCGCCATGACACTTAATTCTGACTGATGCCCGAAAATTGTAAACGACCGATTTAAATGTGCAGTGATCCGAACGGTCAAAACCATATGCAACAAATATTAGTTTTCATTATCAGTAAAACAGTTTGCTGGATCATGATCAGCAACAAAAAAGCTTTACTGAAAAACAGCAAACGATATTTATACCGAAAAATTCAGCTAACATAAACGGTTTGCTGGACACAAGTAAAGAGCTGTCAATGTGTTAGCGTCACAGTCGCAAGTACAGGTATACCTTGATATAACGTAACTGTCACTTTTGACTTCCATCGCCGATTTCTCGCAAACGATCATTCAAACAAACAAAATAATAACTCCATCGGACAGATGAGATAATCCCCCATCTATTCGTAATATTAATTTATATGATTCAATTGTTCTTAGGGAGATACTGACGGTGGAAATCGAAAGTGACAGTAGCAGTCGAGGTATACCTGTATTTGCATTCGTACGATTCGTACAAACCATCGAGGAGAAGGGAAAACTACAAATACATAATCTACAAATATATAAAATTATGTTGGTAAGAGCACTGGTTGTATTTAATTTTAATAAATTATGCATGGAAACGACCCTGGCGATTTTGTCTTTATTATTTGTGTATTTGTATCAAAAATCTTTAACAGAAGCTGCCAGCCCCAAGCGAAAATAAATTCGATTTACTGAGTTTATTCAGCAAAATGCTGTGAGCTTTCAGAATTTTTCATTGCTGAAAAATCAATGAAGAAAGATTGCTGAAATTTTTGCTGGTTATCAGTAAAATGTTGTCATTTTGACAGAAGTTGGAATGGGGTTCATTAAGGGTATTGAGGTAAATGCATATTCGTAATCTGCCATAAAAATGGAACTCAAACACAAAATTTCATCAAGAACGATTACATTTGCAAAAATCACCTTATTAGCGCTCCTCGGTGCCACTTTGTATGGGAGTGAACTGTCAGTTTGTCAAATCGAGATGAAAGTGTGTGGGTTCGAAAAAAATATTGCTGTGCTCAGAAAACTTTGCGATTTAATATATATGATATATATATATAAAAACCGATATATTTTAAAAATTAAAGAACCCAATTGCTGGAAAATTCAGCACCATTATTTTGCTGGAAAGTTTGCTGATCTTTCATCAAGTCTAAAATCAGCAAAATTCTGATGAGTTTCAGCGATTTAAATTTGGTGTGTGGGATTTTTTGATCTAGATAATAATAATTTGTCCAGAATAGATCAGACACGAACCAATTCATAACTGTTGCATGCGGGTTCATGGCTTAGCTAACTATTTCCCGCGAACACGGAGCCAGATGTCAGTAGTGTGCTTTGGTCAGAAATTTTATTGTTTTTGCTATGGTCATTCATGTCGGTTTGTCGGTGGTAATATGACATGCACTTAACTAAGGACACGGGATATACTAAAATAGATCAAATAACTGGTCGCAGTGGTGTTAGGTCCCAAACAGAGGAAAAAAAATAAAAAATAGCGCATTACACACATTGTAGGAAGTGCGGAAACGCATATTTCACGACTGGAAATACTCGGATATCTCCAAGGTCTTTACTGATTTCCATCACTACCTCTACAGGCTTCCCCAATCTCAGGCATCCGGTGAAGATCAGCATCGATGGCACCTATCGTTTGTTCTTGGGTTTGGTCACGTTTGGCCATTAAATCTTCGGGCAAATATCGATGTTTCCAGAGTTTAAACATGCAACAGTTACAAACGCAGGTGCTTAAGAAAGTGACAGTTCACATCACAAAACACACTAAAAACAACATCAGCATAATGCTCGATAATTCTAACAAACCCAAGATTATCGATGAATAGTGCATGGAATCGGATAATATCGGCAAGTGGCTTCATTACGACTTGAATTTATCGTAAAAATCGTAATTTTGAAGCAAATTTTAAAGAAATCTGTTAGATGAAATGTAAAGCGGATTACGTTCGTCCCCTTTGAATGAAACGGACAATGTGTTTCCATCCTATTCCATCTTTTTATTCGAGAACACCTCACTACTTGACTAGGCTATTGGTCCCAATAACACCTATAAGCGTACCCCATTCTAGTCAAAATTCTTTTGATTCGCTATGAAAGTTTGACAGATAAAATGAGGGGTTCCTGGATTTTCCTATGTTTCGAGGGGTGCATCGTTTAGCTTGAGCATGTTTCTTCGGAACCTTCTGGTCTTAGAGTTTATCTCTATGGTTTTTGTGATTAACGAAGCAGCAATTTTCGCAGTTTTGTACCTGAATACATACATACACAGCAAAAAAAAAAATGTATTATCGATCAATGTAATTCAAGCTGTAGTATGAAATAAAGATGTAATAGCAAAAAGCAGATACAATATTACATCAATGGATGTAATTTTGTTCGCAAAATCGATGTACATCGTTCATCACAAACGAAGTGACAGACGGCTAACTGGCGAAGAAATCCATTTAAATAATGTGGTTCACTGTAATAGAATTTTCTTGGAAGCTTGTGCCATCATCCACCAGATGGGTTAGTTTTTTT